AATCCCCAGCCCCATGTAGATTTAGTTTAGATCAATTTCAGGACTATCTTCACTGTTTAGCAGATAGAAAGTCAGTTTTCCCTATACCATCTGTGTGAAAAGCTATCTTTCCTCTAGGAAAGTATTTGGTCCCTTTGTTAAAGATAAGGTAGTTGAGTGTGCTGGAAGTTGTTTCCACATCTTGTTCTGTTTCTTTGATCCACAAGCCTATTTTTTAAAAATACCATACTGTTTTTGTTTTTATTACTGTAACTTTACAGTATAACTTCACATTTGAAAGTGTAATATCTGCTACCCTTGCACACGTTGCCCAGAATCCAGAATTGCTTTTGCTATTGTAGGTCTATTCTGGTTGCCCATGAATTTTAGGATTGATTTTTCTAGTTCTGAGAAGTATGCTATTGGTCTTTTGATTTGGATTGTATTAAATCTGTGAAACAGATTTGGAAGCATAGCCATTTTGACCATATTACTTCTACATATCCAGGAAGAGTGGATATCTTTATATTTTCTAATATCCCTTTCAATCTCCTTTTTCAAAGTACAGTAGTTTTCACTGTAGAGGTCATGCCTAAGTATTTCATTTTTGTTGACGCTATTGTGGAAGTTTCCCATCCTCGCTCTCAGAGTTTATTATTGCTATACTAAAACTCTATTGTTTTTGAGAATTGACTTTGTATCCTGCTATGCTGCTGAGTTTGGTTTTTATTAGTGAATTTTTTCCTTTTCTTTTCTTTTGGTACTGGGGATCGAACTCAGGTCCTTGCACCAAGCGCTGGAACCACTGGGCTAATCCCTGGCTGAATTTGGTTTTTAATTCCAGGAATTTTTTGGTTGAGTTTTGGGGATCATATTGGTACAGGTTCAAATCATCTGCAAATAAGAAATTCTTCCACTCCTATTCATACTTTTCTTTCTTTCTCACCTGGTTGCTCCAGCTAATATTTTATTGCCCATTTTTGATTGAGTCTTTTATTTTAGGTCTTTTTTTTTGAGATCTTATATATTCTACATATCAACCTTTCATTGGTGTAACAATTTTTTTTTCCTTTTCTAGGTTTTTACACTGCTCATTGTTTTATTAAAGCAGAAGCTTTTTAATTTGTCATATGAGTTGTTGATTCTGGATATTTTATCTTGTACAACTGGGGTTCTGTTAAGTCACTATATTCATATGTGTTCAATAGTTTAACCCATATGTCTTTCAAAAGTGTTTCTATTTTAACATTTAGCTCTTTGATCCATTTGTTTGTAGTTTAGTACAGGGTGAACAATTCAATCTTTTGCATGTGAATAGCCAGTTTTCCCAGAACCATTTTTTTTTTCCCCGAGACAGGGTTTCACTACATAGTTCAGGCTGGCCTTGAACTTGCTGTGATCTTCTTGCCTCAGCCTCCCATGTGTTGGACTACAGGCTACACCACACCTAGCTGCAGCACCCCTTGTTAAAGAGATTATCCTTACTCCAGTATTTTTGGCAGCTTAGTCAATGGTGAGATAGATGAACGTGTGGGATTGTTGTCTGCTCCCTATTTTGTTCTATTGATCCACAAGTCTGTGTGCCAGCACCATGCTGTTTTGCTCAATATAGCTTTGTAATATAGACTGAAGGGATTGTGATGCTTCTTGCCTTGCTCTTGTTATTCAAGATTGCTTTAGGCATTCCTGTTCTCTTCTGATTGTATATAAATTATAGGATGGTTTCTCTACTTCTGTGAGCAATGCTTTCTGGTATTCTGCTTGGGATTTTAAATATCTATTTGTTTTGGAAGACTGGCCATTTAGAAATTATCGGTTCTTTAAAAATTGTTTACTGGTATATTTTAGGTATATATTATGATCACATTCATCGTTCGGAATTTGTACCTCTACAGGGTATATTTTGGTTCTTGTTTTTCCCCATTCCCCTTACTTCTCTTCCACCTCTTCCTATTCACAAAAGACATGGTTCCTGTATATGGTCTCAATGTGCATCCATTTAGCTATGTCTCCAGTTTCTCATTTTTTAATGGCTGAGTAGTACTCCATTTTATATTTAAAAAAACCCACATCTTTTTTATCCAGTCAGCAGTTGATGGGTATTTGTGCTGTTTCCAAAATTTGGCTATTACAAACTGTGCCACTATAAACATGGGTGCACATATACTGTTGTGGCATGATGTTTTTAATTCTTTTGTGAAGATACCCAGTCAGAAAATAGCTGGGTCAAATGGGACCTCTAATCCTATTTTTTTGTTTTGGTATCAGGGATTGAACTCCGGTCCTTGCACTTGTGAGGCAGGTGGCAGCACCACTGAGCTAAATCCCTGGTCCATCTAATCCTAATTCTTTGAGAAATCTCCACACTCAATTCCACAGTGGCAGCACCACTCTACACTCCCAACAGTGGAGGATTCCTTTTTCCTTACAGCCCCACCAGCATTTGTTATTGATTTCTTGATAGCAGTTTTTCTGGGGTGAGGTGGAATATCAGCATTGTCTTCACTTGCATGTCTTGAATGATCAGTGATGTTGAAAAATTTTTTTTCATGTTAATTTGCTGTTTCTACTTCATCTGCGAAATGTTTGTTCATTTCAGATGTCCATTTTTGAACTGGGTCTTTAAATCTGTGAGGTCTGACTTTTTAAAGTTCTTTATATATTCTAGATAGTTGACCTTTGTCTGTAAAACAGCTGGTTAATTTTTTTTTCCACATTGTGAGTTGTCTCTTCACTTGGTTGGTGGCTTCTCTTGCTGTGCAGGTTTTTAATGAGATCCCAGTTGTTCTTTGTGCTAGTTCCTATGTGAGTAAGGTTTCGTTCATAAAGTCTTTTCCTACGCCAATGTCTTCAAGAATTCTACCTATCTTCTAGCAAGTTTAGTGTCTGTTTGATTCATTTTTGATTAAGGTTTAGTATATACTGAGAGATATGGGTCTATCTTTCACCTTTGGTAAGTTGAAACCCCCTTTTTCCATCACCACTTATTAAAGAGAATCATAAGTTGAATTCTTTTTTTTTTACTTCTTTTCTATATGTACAGTAAAACCTTAGTTTCCAAGAATACTTCATTCCACTCATATCAATATCAAAGCAGTGAGAAAAGTATCAGTCACACTTGTGTGACATTCAACATGATGTACCACTCATATTTCAAGACATCATTTCTTTATTAAAATGTCTTAGAAATGTTTGCTTACCTTCTGGAATACTAACACACCAACTTATACACAATCCAAGGTTTGACTCTACTTTTCTTTCTCTTCCTTGATTGTTCTGGCTAACCTTTCACGGTGTACATTAAAAAATTGTTATCATGTACATCCTTCTCTTGCTGTTTGGAGGGAAAGCTTTCAGATTTTTTCTATTTAATGTAATGTTGAGAATAAATTTAACATAACTGGCTTTTATGATTTAGATAAAATACTTTCAATCATAAGACAGTGGTCCTTACTGCTGATGACAAAAAGAATATTGTAGAAATTTGTCTCTAAAGTTATACACCAGAATGCAATCTTAATCACAAAAATTAGTCAATTACTTCTTTTACTGAGCACTTTGAGGTTCCCAGATGAAAGATTAATTTCCAAAGTCTGAATGGTGTAATATCAAGGAATAAAGAACTTTGTTTCATTTTGATAAATACAAATTTTTCCAAATTTCAAGACTATCAAAAATTCCTTTGAGAATGTTCTGTCATATCATTTGTAGTTTGTGGAGAGATTAACTACTGCAATTCATTGTTTTGCTTGAGAAAAGATACAGTCCTGCTGCTCTGTGGCAGGTGGAGACTCACAGCTATATATTTTTTGGTATGATGTCCAACAAAATGAATCATGGTAATATAAGCCTGATAAGTAAATTTGCCAGAGACTCCTGCACTAAGTCTCTAGTCCCATCCTGCCCAGTGCGTGATGCAGGGTTGAAGAAAAATTTAAGACATAGTTAAAGAGAGTGTGGACTGGGACGGCCAATATTCCTTCGGCAAAAGGCACTGGCCCGTCTCTTCCACCAAATTTTATTATTCATCAATAAGGGTAAAGGTGCAATATGTGTATAGATGGGCAGTTCGAGAAATTAGCATGGAAACTAATGCAGGCAAGGCTTTAAAGAGAAGTCAAAGCATTTTCAAATTAGGAACAGAGTAGACAAAATATATGTAATTGGAAAATTGTCCTTCAAGCTATGATGGTGCGATTACTCCGACTTTGGCTATGGATATTATCTTGTATTAGCCCCACAGCTCCAGAGGCCAGTACTCTGACTCAGTTGTGACCATTAGTGCGGAGGTCATGTTAACCTGTGCACTACCGCATTGCTCATGAGATCCTTCTGTGAGTCACATAGCTTCAGTCAGACTTGCTTCTTAAAATCACCCAATTGAGGGATTTAACTCTTCGCAGTGGCACTGCTTAAAGCATGTCTGGGACATAATCAATATTGTGGGCTCTGGCATAATATTTTGATTAAAAACATCTGAAATTTTATACACATTATAATGGCTCTTGTATCAGAGAAAAAACAGGCAAAATTATGTATTGCATATAATCTAAAATTATATTGGAATATATAGATATCGTCTCAGAATATGGGACATGTTTGCTAGTCTACAAGATGTGTGAAAACATTTAACCTATGTAAAACACATGTACAAATATTTTTTTGAAAATACAATTATAATGACAAAATAACATCCAATTAAAAATACCTTTGTTAGAAAAATGGCAAAGTGGACTATATGCATCAAAAATTTAAATACGAGAGGGACCGGGGATTTAGCTCAGTGGTTTGGTGGCCTGCCTTGCAAGCGGAAGCACCCGAGTTCAATCCCTGGTACCAAAAAAAAAAAAAAAAAAAAAAAATATGAAAAGGCCACTGGTAAAATCAGAACAATTAGCAAAAATTTAATTTTGGGGTCAAATTATGCCAAAAATTTTAGAAACAAAAAAACCCAACAAAATAGAGGAGACAAAAAATATCCTACAAAAAATAGTAACTTTTGGGCATATAAGAAATACATTTCAATTCACCTGTACATCTAACATGGGCAAAATAATGACTTATTAGTTAATTTAGTGAAAAGATACATTCCCACACTATTGCCTATAAATACAGAATTATATGAGCACATTTACATGTTAACTTAGAAATATGTAATCCAGAGATATACCAAGAGTTTCTTTATATTTTAGAACGTCTCCTCTATTTGTGCATTTTCTGGAAAAATAATTTGTATCTCATTTTTGTATAATTTATGTGCATAGGTTGGTACTACATGAGAAATGTTCAAAGGATTTTTAAATATGTTACAATGGGGAACTTTTTTGTTCACAGCATTCTGAGCCAATATGCATTTCACATGTAGGATAACTGAACAACTCTGTACAGCCCTTATATTAATGGTTTCTCATAATGCTGTGTTCATTTCTAATATGACTAACACCAAAATGGGAAGAGGTGTTCTCACAAAATATACATTGATATGTTTCTCCACTATGCAGTTCCATGTGTGCATGAAAAAATCATGTAAAAATGAGGACTTCTCACAGTCTGTATTTATACTGATGCTTGTGAATTTGCACATTTTCTGAGAAAATGAAATCACAAAATCCTCTCACATTACCAACCTAGGGTTTCTCTTTAGGGTGAGTTCCTTCACATATTTCCCATGTGAATTCTTTCATGTATTTGAATGCATTGAGAAAAATAAAACCTTTCCCATACTACTCATATGTTCAGATTTTACTATGAATACTTTCATGTATGTAATGATCTCTTTGTACTGAAAGACTTTATATTGCTTACAAAGAAAGGGTTTGCCTCTACTGTGAATTTTTTTGTCAGTATAATTACTTTATAGATTCAGTCGATTTCTTACTTTTTCAATGTACATGTTTACTGGAGTAAAGGCTTTTCCATATTGCTTGTGTACATAGGGTCCTTCTCTCGTGTAATTTCTTTCACGTATTTGATAAGACCCCTGTGTACTGAATACACTGCCATATAGTTACATATACAACATTTCTACTCACTGTGAGGCCTTCATGTATTTGACAATTTCCATGTGTGTTGAGTGCTTTCCCACATTGCTTACTTACATAGGGATTTGACCGAGTGTGAATTCTTTCATGTTTTTGGTAAGTACAGCGTCTGCTGAAAGCTTTACCACACTGCTTACATACATAAGGTTTCTCCCCTGTGTGAGTTCTTTCATGTATGTGACAATTACCATGTGTTCTGAAAGCTTTCCCACACTGTTTACATACATAGGGTTTCTCCCCAGTGTGAGTTCTTTCATGTATTTGACAATTACCAAGTGTGCTGAAAGCTTTCCCACATTGATTACATACATAGGGCTTTTCCCCAGTGTGAAGTCTTTCATGTTTTTGACAATTACCTTGTCTGCTGAAGGCTTTCCCACACTGCTTACATATATAGGGCTTCTCTCCTGTGTGAGTTCTTTCATGTTTTTGACAATGACTATATGTTCTGAAAGCTTTCCCACATTGCTTACATACATAGGGCCTCTCCCCAGTGTGAGTTCTTTCATGTGTCTGACAATTGTCTTGTCTACTGAAGGCTTTCCCACATTGCTTACATACATAGGGCTTCTCCCCAGTGTGAGTTCTTTCATGTATTTGACAATTACTGTGCGTTCTAAAAGTTTTCCCACATTGCTTACACACATAGGGCTTCTCTCCAGTGTGAGTTCTTTCATGTCTTTGACAATGACTGTGTGTACTAAAAGCTTTCCCACACTGCTTACACACATAGGGTTTTTCTCCAGTGTGAGCTCTTTCATGTATCTGAATGTCATGCAGAGAATTAAAAGCTTTTCCACAATGTATACATACATAGGTATTCACTTCACTGTGATTTCTTTCATAGATTTGAACATAGTTCGTTGTGCTGAAGGCTTTAACATCTTGCTCATATATAAATGGTTTCTCTTTAGTGTTGCTTCCTTCAGTGCCTTTAGAGTAGGATTTTCCACATTGCTCATATTCATAGGGTGTATCTCCAGGATTTGTTTTTGTATGCTTCTGAAAGGACAGGAAGGCAGTGGAAGTTTTGCTGTGTTTGTTAGAGAGCTTCTCCTCAAATCTCTGATACTCATAGGATGCGAGTCCGGTGTTACCCATAATGGGCACATTAGACAATGAATGATTAATCAGGGGTTTTCTAAAAGCAAAGTTTTCACCTGTTTTGGTACGAGTCCAAAAAAAGGTCTCTCCATGTTGTTGACATAATTTATATTGACAGCATTTCTCTACTTCTTCACTTCTATAAAAGAATAAGAAGATAACAAAACAATCACATTAATAAAAATGTTTTGTTAATGATTTTCCAGGAGAAGATCAACTTTGATGCCCCTTGGATTATTTGATTTTAAATTCACAGTATACTCTGGATGATGCTGTGAAAACAGCTTTTAACCAAACAGTAGCAATTCACTTGGGAGTTTGTAAGAGACACGTTTGCCATACATAATACATTCATTTGAAGAACTTGTACATATGCATACCGTAAGTTGTTTTTGATACCTTTTCCTCCATGAATTTAATACCTCCTGCTTCCACTGAGCCTTTTCACCTGTCTCCAAAATACCCGCCTCTTTTCTACCATCTCTCCTTTATTTTATTCCTTCATTCCTTGTATGTTATACAAAGTATACCATGTGAAACTGAAAATTCTCTGTCTGACTTATTTAATATTATGGGCTCCAGATCCCTTCAGTTTTGGGGAAAAATGACATCATTTCATTGTCCTTTAAGGCTGAATACTATTTCATAATGTATATATACACCACATTTTTTTTCAGAACTGGAGACTGAACTCAGGTTTTCAGTACTCAGCTACAAGCTTAGTCTTATTTGAGACAGTCTCATCAATCATTAAATTGCCCAGACTGAGCATGTATGTATGATTTTGCTGCCTCAGCTTCCCAAAGTGCTTGGATTCCAACCATGCATTATCATACCTGGGCTATTTCATATTTCCTTAATCTACTCATCTGTGAATGGGTATGTAGGCTGTTTCCGGGGTCTAACGATTGCAAGTGGTGCTGTTATAAACATGGGTATGAATGTATCGGTATAATATGATTAGTTTAGGGGTTACATAATGGAACTTCTATTTTTTCTTTTTTTAGGAATTTCTACACACATTTCCACAGAAGTTATACTACCTGATATTCCCACCAACAATACAGGGATGTGTATTATATTATTTTGGAATATGAATGGATGAGTGCTTTGGAGGACTGCTCGAAAACATACTGTCAGAACAGTGGCATTCATTTGCATTTTGTATACTTGCACAAGGTCAGCAATTTTGGAAATACTGAATGTACACACATTTAAACACATATAGCATTCCTTACATAATATGTCTGATATGCAACTGGCCTTTAAAAAATACTCATATGTATGTAATTACGCTGAATATGACTGTCTAAACAAAAAATTTGCTTTACATACACCAATAGTCAATGCCCAAACAAAATTTCATGCAACATGGATAGTAACTTGTATTTTTCTGATATATTAGATAATGTCACTGTGGCATAATATTAGTATTCCCTAAGTTTCAGATGGAATATATTAAATATTCAATTGTCAGGTTATAGATATTCAACATATATGCATCTCTGCAAAACATATTTGAGATTAAAGAAATACGAACATGGGCTGGGGATTTAGCTCAGTGGTTCTGCTGCCTGCCTTGCAAGTGCAAGGACTCAAGTTCAATCCCCGGTACCAA